CACAGGCAGTGTCCTAAAAAGGAGAAAAGAAATGATCATCAGAGTGGGATGTTTGAAGCTGGGATTTTAGAGATGGTGCTCATATTTGGGGTGACGTCCTCTAAGGCTTGACCAGGGGTGTTGGCAGCTGATGTTTGGGCACAAGAGAAGAAGTCTTTGAGTAATGGAGCTGAATGCCCATGTTGGTGGATGGGTAGGATCAGTGGTGCGGGGAAAATGGTTGGTTATGTGCTAAAACTCTCACTGCATGATAAGGAGACATATGCAACTAAAAAGATCCAAGGGGAGAGATGAAGCAAGGTCTGGAAGCAACAGCAAAGAGCCAAACCAGGCCCACTTGCCTTTAGCCAATGGCTTGTAGATGTGGAACAGGAAAGCAGTGGCATCTTCAGGGGGTATTGTGTGTGGGAGAAGAGGATGGCAGGAAGAAGGGGAAGGTCTGAGGCATGCAAAGGGAGTGCAGTTTGGAGCAACCTGGGATCGGTGTACAGATGGAAAAAATGACAGAGCATTTGGGCAACTCTGGCATTGAGTCATCAGGACCAGGACAGGATGACCACCCTGGTGCCTTAGTCCCTTTTGTGTTGCTATAACAGAACACCTGAAGCTAGGTAACTGAGGAAAAACAGTTTACTTAGGCTCATGGCTCTGGAGACTGGAAAGCCCAAAATCAGACAGCACAGGTCCTGCCCTTTGGAAACATCGTGGGAGTCAGAAGTGGAACAGGTGCACATGGAAGAGGAAAACACAGAGGGGCTTGCTTTCCACCGCTGCTCTCACAGTTACTAACCCCGGCCCTGAGGTCTGAACTCACTCACTACCCTGAGAATCAACCCATCCTGTGAGAAAGGCATTTGTCTTCGCCACTTAATCACCTCTCAAAGGCCCTGTCCCCAACACTGCTGCCATGGCACTCCTGTTTCAGAATGAGCTTTGGAGAGAATAAGCCATATCAGCCATAGCACCTGGATGTCTCTTTGGTGGGACAGATAATTGATCTACTGAATCAGGGGCACAGGGAATGATTGTTTTGAGAAGAGAGGGCTGGGAGGGACATGGCACATTCACAAAACCAGGTAGGATGCTCAGGGGTTCCCTTGGAGGTAAAACCAGCCCCCATGCATATAATTCAATATTCTGTTACTTTACACTCTACTTAAGGAAGACCACTGCATGGGTAGGTCACAGACAGACTTAGCCCTCCAGGGCCTTGGGGTAGGAGCTATACCCTGTTTAAAAATAAAGAGCATCATTCAGCCCTGGACCTGAGCCACAAATGGTGTTTTCATCAGCTACCTTTTATGCTTCAAGAGCTCCAGTGGGGTCCGTGGATCTGGGCTGCCCAGGGAGCTGTTAGTTTTTCAAGTCACTTCACAGCAAGTAGCCTTTAAGCTGGGCAGTTCTAACTTTCATTCACCCCCCATGTGTGCAATTAAGAGGACTATAAAGAGAATAATGAAATAGACCACTGGGAGCCACTTTTCCAACCCTCTTTCCTTGTGGTTTGTAAGTTCAAACAAGGCAAAATGTTTTCAGCTTTGCTTTCTCTCAGTGAATCGTGAGTCTCTGGGCCTCACCATGTGCTGATGAGGCAGCGTGGCACAGGTGTAACAGTTCATTTTTCTTTTGTTGAAAAGGCTCCCTGGTGTCTGCCTTGAAGCACCTTTGCACTTGCTGATCCACGGCCAAGGAAAGTCCCTCACTGGAACTGTTGTTCTGTATGCCAACTTCCTTTTTTTTTTTTTTTTTGCCAACTTCCTATTTGTCCTATAGAAATCAGATTAAAGTCTCGGCTTCACTGTGCCTTTCCCAGCTTCACCCATGTGACCACATGCTTACCTTTTAGTACGTCACATAATGTACTCTTTGGACACAAAGTATCCTGGGGCCTCTGTCCACAGCCTTCAGTTCACTGGTCGATAACCTGAGCCACTCAGTACCTTCAACACCCAGCACATCTTCAGCATGGATGTGGACAGCAATTGTGGACAGCTGCAGGTAAGTATTTAGACAGTATTCTCAGATCATGGTTGGAATTGTATTATCTCACAGCAGAAAGGGTGTTTTGGATGCCTTTTCCTTGTCAACAACCTCTGGGACATTATTTGTACATGGGGAAACGAGTCCCTAGGAACAGGATAGAGTTCCTCCATCTGCTGGTAAGCATGATGCACTGTTGCTCCTGGTCAAATGGGGGCAGGGGGCAGAGCTCTTCTCTGTGCTCTAGAAGCTGGAACACGCTTTCAATAGGGTAATTTGAGGGCTATTTGATTGGACTGAGAAACACCTGTGAGATATAGCTGTCAGGGCTGAGGGTCAGCTGAAGGGGTATTTTCATCAGTGAGGTCCCAGGTTAAAGAAACCATGCAGAGCTGAAGGGCCCTCCTTTCTGAGCCACCCAGTCAGTGTGCATCAGTACAGCTGCAGGGCCCTTACTTTACCCACCCACTGGCCAGAAGAGCAAAAGTTAGCCCTACTTTCTGTTTTATGTTGTGTCAGCTCTTGTAACTGTGGCTGTGTAGGTCGCATACAATGTGTGCGGGTTGATGTACATGGTCCTCTTGGATCCCCCCCACCCCAACTTTGGGCCAAGGGCTCCGCTATTTCCACCTTTTGCTTAACAGTAGGCCTTGTGTGCTGTATTGGGGGCACTCCTGGTAATGGAGACTTATGCTTGGGGAGGAGGCTACCCTACAGCATGACTTCTGTGGCAGCCAGTCATTGCAGATTCTCCTCTGTTTGTTGCAATTGGCCCAATTGCTGGAGAAGGTCTTCTGCCTCTTGCCTCACAGGTGTGTGTGTGTGTGTGTAAATAACCAAGCCACCCACCTCACTGACTCACAGTAGGGGTGAGGAATTCGTACATCTAGCACTTCTAAGGTCCTCAGTATGTCTCTGGGTGTCAGGCAGATTGTTTCCTAGTCCTTGGGGGCCTTCCCTAATGCCAAAAATGTGGCTACAAGTAATCAAAGAGAGGCTGGAGATCCATATTGGCAACTTCCTGGGGCTTTCCCTCGCCATCAGGTGCTGTTTCCACAGGCACTTGTCAGGGCCACAGGGTGGCTGAAGGGGTAATTTTGTGAGTAAGGTCCCCAGGGTAGAGAAAGCATGCCGAGCCAACATCAACAACAATATGAAGAGTAGTGTGTCTTTATCCCTCAGTGCCTATCTTGGTCATTATCAAGCATTGCAGCATTGTGTCCTGGCATGATCATGTTGCACATCTGTGATTGCCTATGCTAAGTCATTCTTTCATAAGTGTGTCTCACAGTGCACATGTGCTAGAGAGTGGGGTCATGTCCTTACAGGGTCCTCAGGTGCCCGGGCTTTAAATCAACCCAAAGTGGTTCTTCACAAAAGCACACTTCTAAATGTGTCTGGGAGTTTCTGTAGGTGATTGACATGAGGGATAGCAAACTGATGAAGAAAACCTGCCTAGAATGTGACTGGCACCATCCAATAACTGGGAGCCTGGATACCACAAAGGCAGGAGAAAGAGGAAGCTAGCCACGCCTGTGGCTGGCTCACACTCTGCTTCTTTTGGTCTGCCACAGCTGAGCTGCATTCCTTCCTCATGCCCTTCCTTTATGATATTGCTGCCTCCCCACAGGCCTGGAAGCCATGGAGCCAGCTGACCATAGACTGGAACCTCTAACACCCCCATCCAAAATAAACCTTTCCTCTGTGTTTTTATTACCAGGTATTTTGTCATAGTGACCAAAACCTAGCCCAATTTAGTTACCGAAATAGTTTTACAACAGTACCTACAGGGTATAGCACATGAACTTGTGATACTCCTTAATTACTATGATCTCTAACTATTCTCTAATTACTATGATCTCTAACTATTAGTCCATTTATAGTTGATGTCTTCTAGACCTGTAGCTGAAGCAATGGAAACCCAGATGGACATGCTGCTTGTAATAAACACTGAGTGTAGGACATTGTCTTTGAGATGAATAATTAAAATTAACAGTGATGTCCTTCATAAACCAGAGGTAGGATAACAGGAAGATTATTGTGTTCTCATTTAAAAAATCATTGCTAATTCTCTGTGCTGCTACTCTATTTGGCAAAAAGCTTGCAGAGGGAGGGATTTAAAGATAAAAAGACACTATCCTGGTCCCTTAAGAAAATCCAGTAAGCAGTCAAGCTATCAGTGCAGCCAAGGGTGGGTAATGGGACAGTGCATATTGCTTTTCAGCATAACAGTGACCCTACTGTGTGGGAATTATTTCCACTTCACAGGTGTGAAACAGGCTCAGAGAAGTCCTTGGAGTGCATCTTGCATAAGTCCTGTTGAGATGTACATTTAGGTCTGAATAGGTTTTCTGCCATTTGCACACTATCATGCTCCTTCCTAAAATGCTTATTTCATTAAGAAAATAGTAATATATGGGAAAGACTGAAAGAGATACTTGCAAATTGGGAGCACAAAAGGCAACTTCCTCTACTTTGAGGTTCTAAGAAGCTTCATGGAGAACAATGAGTTGGCTCTTAAAAGATACTGAGAGTTCACACAGAATGAAGGCAGACAAGAAGGGCACACCATCAGCAGGTGGGAAGTTCAGGAGGTATGGAAGGCATGGTGAGTATAACAGAATATGGTAGGAGGTGAGAATGAACCTGGAGGTCAGAACCTTCACATTATGTGAAGGACTTTGTCCTGGTCCAGTGAAAGTCATCAAATGCTATTGGCAAGGCCAAGATGTGGCTGGATGGGGTTTTAGGAAGGGGCAATTTGCAAAAATGGCAAACATAAGGAAAATACCAGAACACAAGTGACTGGGTAGGATGCTTTCATCAAAAGACAGGAGAAACAGATTAAAGAGAGCAGATTAAAATGGCAAAGATGAGTGGAATAGACAACTTGGTTTGGCAATGAAACAAAAACAAGGCAGTTTAGGAAAAACAGGTTAGCATTCATGAAACCTTTCCTGTACATGAGCTGCCATGCTCAGTCTAACACAGGCTATTTCCTTAAAACCACGGAGAAGGTCTATGGTAGAAATATGTTTATTATTCCAGTTGCACAGTGGGAAAAGTTATGCATTGAAGGTTTAATAACAATTATCAAATTGTAGACAATTTGAACTCAGGGTGTTTGGTTCATAAGCTTTGTTTTTTACTATTGTTTCATATAGTTTCCAGGATGGGTTCAAAATTTTCATTAACTAAGACATGAACTGGAGAAAGAGGCAAAAGTATATAGAGTTACTGAGAGCACTTTGCTCATTTTGAATTTAAATATCTTATAGGATATACAGTTGTAAGTGTCTTGTTACTTAATTGGAAAGACAGAGCAAAAGGACTCAAGATAGAGCAGTTATTGTTATATAGATCCTGGTTGATACCAAAAGACCACACAAACTCAATGGGGAGATATAAACAAAAGAAGAACATTGACAAGAATAAATGCTGTAAAGACCACTTTCTTTGAAAAGAAATAAACACATACAAACATAAGATCTCCATGAACACAAATCCCATACACTCAGTCTTTATTTTTGATTTGCCTTTTGTGACTTATTTTCTTCTGTAAGATTTATTCACCTGGCTTCTCATAATCATTGCCTTCTTGAAGTGTGAAGAACCATTCCCATGGAACAGTATCTGAAGAGAACTCTGGATTTTTCTTGAAAGTTAACATTACTGATGATCACATACTTGTCAAAATTGGACATGTATGCATTCATGTTTAAAAATTAACACAAGTGAGTAAGTTTCCAATAGAGAAAAAAATGATATTGCCAAAATTAGAAGCAAAAGAGTTGTCTGTTCCAAACTTCCTCCTGGTCCCTTCTCTCATCATCTTGCTGCAAACTGCCTTTGCCAGCTGTGGTGTGGAGAGAATCCCAGATGCCAACAGCCTGAGTAGGAGAAAGGTATGACTATATGACACCTAATCTAGAGGTTTCACTGAGAGGGACATCCCACTCACTGTTGGCATTTCAAAGTGCAATTGTTCGGGGACGGGGGGTCTGAGTGATGGCACAGGTGCTCATGGGTTAGCAAGCATTGTCTCCCAATTTCCAAACGGAAGAAAGACTTCCTCTAGTAACCACTCAGCAGTTACAGGGATTCAGTTAGCAAGTACTCAGGAACCCAAGGTTAAATGCCCATCTTTACCATGTTCCCCCAGCAAGGTGCATCTTGCACAGGAGACACGTACGTGTGGATCTGGCAAGGTGGACAGGGGGCTTGAGAAGGGGACTCCCTTACACAGCCTGTAAATTCCTGTCCCAATCATCTCCTAAAACAATATGAGCAGTGGTGCCAAGGGAAAGAATTCAAAGAGCAACCCAAAGGTACTTTGTGATTCTCCTATGTTTTATAAAATTATTTACATTTCTCTTTTTGGTCATGGCAAGGTCTATTGGCACAAAGAGCGCAGCCACAAAGGAATCCTTAGATTTCAGCAATTCATCTTATATATATTTATATATATATATTTCTTCTTATCTTCATTTCCTCAGCAAAAGGGGAAATAAAAATATTGATCTATAAAATAAGCAGATGATAACACAACGCCAAAAATAGCTTATGTTAAGTGCAAGGGGTGAAGCTCGAGAGCAAGCTAAATTGCAACAACATATTGATTTAACATTTAAATACAAGGCTTGCAATAAAATAATTCTTGAGATAAGCTTCTTAGTTTTAGGTTACTTTTTAAAAACTACTCTATATACACATATCCAGTTGTAACACTTGACAGTAGCATGATGTGGCATGATATAACTTTGGTACACATTGTAGACACGGATAGTTAATGATTGTAAATGATCTCTCTCACCAGCAGGGCTCTGTACAGCCAGGTGACCAGCCACCTACTCCCGTATCCCCTCCCATCAGAGTCCCCACAGTTCTCCCCATGGCCATCCAGACAGTGGAGAAAGCAGGCTCACTGGATCCATATCGTGTTTCCTCTCTCAGTTCTCCTGGGTTCCACTGTCAGCTCTCCAAACGTGGAAAAGAACTGCTCCATTTCCTTCTGCAGCATGTCATTTCTTTTCTCAGCATCTTCTTTTGCTCGCTCGGCATTTCGCATTTTGATTTCTATCATAGTGAACTTTTTCCTTTCTTGATCCAGTTCATCGTGGAGGCTCATCATTTCTGTTTCCAAAGTCAAATTTCGCTGTTCTAAGCTACAAGGAGGCGACAGGGGAGAGAGAATAAGAGAAAAAGAGAATGAAATGTAAGAGGGATACCAATATTTTCTAAACTCTGTTGACAGTGCTCAGGAAGTTAAAATGAGCCCTTTCAAATGAGCAGAGCAAGGTCTAATGATCAAAAGGTTTTATTTTGTGGTATTATCTTGGTAATGGCTGACATGATTTACTCTCATTTTACTAGTAAGGCCCAAGACATCTCTTGGAAGTGATTAGATATCATTTAATAGTCAATGAATGAGTGTCAGTACAGAGAAGCTAGGGACTCAAATCATACAGCACAGGCAGGGCAGAAGTAGAAAGCAGCCAAACCCCAGAAGCTTCCAGTACATTAACATCAATGTGGCCTTACTAAACATAAGTAGGAAATTCTGACAGAGTTAGAAAAAAAAAGACAACCAATTGGCCTTCTATCAAAGGAAAAACATTGATAACAATAATGTTGTAATTATTTGTCCTGAAATGTTGAGTTCATGGGGATTAAGACATGCCCAGTGTGCCTGGGGGCCATGGAGGCATAGCCTCAGCGTCTTTGGCTGGGCCCTGGCTCCTTCCTCTCTGAGGGTGTTCCCCTGCTCTGCATTCCTGCAGCCATGAACTAGGCAGCTTTGTTCTGCCATGCCCTTCCACCAGACATTCTTGCCTTGGGGCCAGCTGATTATGGACTGAATCAACTGAAACCATGAACCAATTTAAACCTCCTATCTTTAAATAGTGGGTGTCAGGTACTGTGTTTCAATGATAAAAAAGATGTTATTTTGTGGTTAAGTCCACTTCTAAGAATAGGCTTTTAGCAAGCAGATAGTCTATACTATCTATAGTATGGAAGTAGCTGAGTTACACTGATAAGAGAAGGCAAAGGTGTGGGCATTAAGTAAGTAACTCCACTTGATACTTTGTAAACATGGGGCACATCTGGGAGCCTGCTGTCACCAATTTTTCAGTTTTCCAAAAAGGGTAATTTATTTAAAAACAGAGACTATATTTCTCTCAATAACCACAAAGATCCAAAGATCTCCACACACAAGTACATATGTACATATGTACACATATATATGCATATGTGTACATGTATTTTTCAAAAGAGAAGTATTAAACACTATTTACTATAAGATGTGGCCTAGCAATAGGGTGACTTTTTCATTTCTCCTTTTTTGAGCTAAAACCACATTGGGTCATTCACATTTACCAGATCACTGAAATTAGAAATGTTAATGTATATATGTATGGCTTTTATTTTAATAATTATAAAATAAAAATCACAATTATTTTTTGTTTTTTAAAAAATGAGCCTCATATGTTACCTGATATTTCATCCAGATAAGAGCACTTAAAAAGGAATCTGTCATCCCTTTGTAAGAATAATATTTTTTACTATGTAATAGTTGAAAAGACTATTTTAAGCACAATGATGTTATGCAAGAATCTGGTACCTCACTGGTTGCCACCCAAAATACAGCATATTCTCTTCGTTTTGTGAAGCTATTCTGGAACTAAAAATGCTGCGATAAGCCAAAGTTTGATAAGAAAGAGGACCCTTTCAAACAATCTGTTGTTACATTTGTACATATCAGGAACGTGTGTGAAATTTCCTGGAATCTAAAGTACTGAGTCGAAGATATAAAGAATCCCTCCCAATACAAACTCATAAAAATGCTGAAAAGTATAAGAGAAAGATTTTTTTAAGGTGCGAAGGTTAAAATAAATAAAAGAATACTTTTAGGCATCAGAACTAATTCATATATAGCGAAGTACACTGAACAGGCAAGAGTGTTGGTCCCACACAGAGGCCCTAGAGGCTGGGGCTAAGTCCTTCTTATTGCATGGGCACAGAAGATGGGGCCGTTGTATAAAAAAGGCAGAAAACTGCAAGTGATTAAGCTGAGAGCTTGAAACACAAGATACCACTGCAAAGAAGGAACTACAAAAACTACTGATAGGCCTGTGGGCAGGGCAGAACTGAAGGAGCAGCAGAGAGAATGAGTAAACTAGAAAAGAGGTCTGAGAAACACAGAATGTCTCAGACTAAGTACAGCAACTTACTATCAGACAAAGAAATGAACAGAGATGCAGGCCAGATTAAGAAGGTCCAATATACATTTCTTTTTTAAAAATATACATTTCTTCTGTTTTTTTTTTTTTTTTTTTGGTACTGGAGATCAAACTTGGGTCCTTGTGCTTGTGCAGCAGGTGGCGAAACCACTGAGCTAAATCCCTGGCAAATATACATTTCTTAATAAGGCTCTAGAAAGAGAAACTGAGAAATGGCAGAGATGAAATAAATAGTGATGAATGAAAATATTCTAGAAGTGAAAGAATTAGGAGTCCTCAGATCAAATAATAAAACATATATATTGAAAGTTAAGGATTGAAAACAACACGAAATTATTAATAAAAAGGATGGTATACTGATATTAACATCAGAAAAAATAGACTCAGGCAAAAAATATCATGGCAATAAAAGATGACTGATTTAGCAATAAAAGGATCAATTCAATAGGGAGGCATAAAAATTCTGAATATTTATTCACAAGGTAGTAAAGACTTAAATTATTCAATATAAAATTTATTAATAATAAGGAGAAATTGATAACCCCAAGAATAATATTATGAGATTTTAAGGTACCTTTCTCAGAAATTTTACATCTATTTGATAAAAATTAGAAGAAATATAGATGATTTCAACATCTTGATGAGATTTGATCTATTTGTCTTTATATAGTATCTCAACTCAATAAGAAGAGAATAGTTTTTACTGGACCAAATAATTGATATCATACTAATGAATTTCTCTCTATACAGTACAATATTTTCTAAAAAAATAAAGTTAGAAACCAGTTGGAAGCATTGGAGAAAGAATAATAAACTGACATGTTTAAAAACTAAAAATTTTAGGGCCAGGGATGTAGTTCAGTGGCACCACACCTGTCTGGCAAGCACAAGGTCCTGAGTTCAATTCCCTGTACTGGGAAAACAAACCTTAAATATATTATGTCTTGCTGATAATTTAAACAAGTTAAATATTCTATCATTTGTCTCTCTTTATTCACCCATCCACCCATCCTCAATACTTTTGAAGTAGGGTGAAAGAGGAATTTAAAGAAAAATGTATAACTCTAAACAGAGGATTGGAAATTAGCCAGAACAGTTAACCTCTTATATTCGCAGGGTTTAGGACTGCCACACCCCTTCCCCAACTTCCTACAGACTTGTCTCTGGTGTCAATGCTAGGGTGAAATGGCTCGTGTAAATCACAGAGTGCTGGAAAGTTCTATTATTTTATCACACTGTCTGAAATGACTAATAGATCTTAGAGTACAAATTCATCATCCACATCCTCATATATGAATGCAAACACCTGCAGCTTCAGACTAACATTTTCCTGCTCCTCACAGAAGTTTAAAGTGTTATCCTTGCTTTGAAAGATAAGCTTTCCAGGGCTAAGTGCTAACTTGTCATTAAGCACTGGCCACATTTCAGAATCCTGGTGGTTAATGGTTCCAAAACCTATACTCAGACAGAAGAGCAATCTTAAAAAGCAAAGGCTGTTGTTTTTTTTAATTTAACTCAGTATTGCAGTTACATAGAAAAATTCAAACCACCTTTCCATTCAATGAAGCTTACAAAAAATGTTGTCCAAGGAAGTAATTTTTCAAACTCTTAAGCAGTATTTTTGTTTGCATTTAGATTCTGTATCTCCTTAAAGGGTGTTATCCTGTCACCTAATATTTGATAAAAGGATGGGAAACATTAGGATGAATTAAATTCAACTATATGTACACTTATGTATATATCAAGTTACAAATAAAACCAGGGAATTTGGAGCCATGGGATGAGCTGAAGCAGGACAAATTGTTGAGGATCCTACCCACTGTACAGGAAGAGGTCCCCAGAACACACAGCTTGAAATGAAGACCCCTAGAAGGGCTGCCTGCGCTGAACTGAGCCGCCACCCTGCTTCTCCTGACTCAATAATGTGGAGTTCTTCCCTCTACAGCACAGTGACAGAACATAGCACCATCTGTTTGTAGTTTCTGTGACCATGGTGAAAATGCAGGGCGTGGTGATTTCCAGGGCTCCAGCACAAGATTGTCTTTGTGAATCCTGGGCTGCATTCTCAAGGGGACCCTTGACCCCCAGGAGAACTGCAAATACAGGACATTCAGCCAGTGTCCCTTCACCTGCCCACACTGCCACCCTGAGGGAGCTGCTAAGCAAACTTCTGCCTCAGCAGCTTCTGAGAAGAGGCAAATTGATAGGAAGCAGATTTTAGCATCGCTGCTTCCATATTAGTCACATGGCCTGCTTCAATCTTTCTTTTCCCTATTAATACATGTGAAAAGTCCTACATAGGTCCCAAGACTGAACATGACCTTTACACGCCCCTCGTCACTTGGCATCTGTCACTTCTCTGAGCTCATTTGGATCTCTGGGCCTGGCAGATAGAAGACACTCTCTTAGCACTCAATGATTGAAAGAAAAAAAAAATAAAGATCTGCACACTGTTTTATTAACCTTGACATTTTAGCTCAATTTTTAAAAACTCTGATTTAATACTTTTCTTGTCAGTGAAATTAGCAGGTAATTTATTCTCTTTCCATCTCCTCACACTCCTGTTCCACCCAGTCTTCTCATACAAACTCACATATTTAATAATAATTATGACATTGTTGAGTCCCAGTTCTGTGCCAGGGACGAGGCACAGTGACTTCTCAGTGCTTCTGAGGTAGATGCAACTAGGATCTAAATTTTTCCCATTAGAAAGCGAAGGCACACAGAGATTAAACTAACGTCCCCAAAGTCCCACAGCTTGCAGAGGGTGCAATGAGGATTTGAACCTGGGTCTCTGCCCTTGAAGTCTGCATATTTAGCCCCTCATGAGATTTCTGTGCCACAAGAGGAGGCTGTTGCCCACTCCTGAATTTATGATCTCCAGATTTTCCTCACCTCTTTATCCTGGTCTCATACTCTATCTTCTGTTTGGTCATTTCCTGTTTCAGGCTGGAGACTAAACTGTGCAGTGCACTGTGGTTGCTGGTGTTGTTACCAACAAATGTCTCACTGTTGTCACTGCTGCTAGTGGCACGACTACTTCGACCTCCCACACTCCTATGGTCACTTTTGTTTTCATAGTCCCCAGGGTGAGAAATGTCATCCTGGGGTGGCCCATCCAGAACAGGATCCTCAAAGTTCCCCCCATAAAAGTCTTGTTCTGGGCAGGTGGTAGTAGAGGAGCGGCAGGAATTGGAGTTCTCAGGGAGGGAGATTTCACAGGATGAAGTGGACCAAGTGGCGCTGTCCACACTGTGTTTGTCATCAAGGTTCATCATGGAGAACTGCTGGTGGACATTGTCATAGGTGGAAAGCCTGTTGTGCTGGCCTGACTCTCCAGCTTGCTCCTTCTGCTTGTTGTCCCTCAGGGTCACATAGCCATTGGGCAGCCAGCTCATGCTGCGACCATTCACAGGGTTCCCAAGCATGTCGGGGTTCAAGATGCCCATGCGCACTGTTCCATTCTGTACACTGTGGGTGCCCATTTTGGTACCAGACCCTTTCAGAGAAGAGGTCCTCCTGGCTTGTAAGCTGCCATTGGGTGTGGTTTGAGTTTTCTCTAGACTTTCTGCATTACTGCTGCTGAAGGACCCATTGGTGACTATCCCACTACCCTTATTGAAAGCGGGGTTCTTTTTGACCATGAGAGGGGGGCTCCTAGACACATCCAGCTTGTGGACGCTGTTCCTTGGACTGTTGGTTTTGCTGCTTGGCAGAGCTGTGGGGGATCCATTGTCCATGCTGCTCCTCTGGAGAGACTCAGACTTGTCCCAGGAGCACTGCCTACCAGGGCTGTCCTTGGTGTTATTGTTTTCCTTGTTCTGTAACTGACCCGTGATAGCTTTCTTCTGAATGTCATTGTTGTTGTTGCTCATTCCATCCTGGGGCTTGCTTTGTTGTTCTACATCTTTGGGGAAGAGGCAATCGTGTTTGCTAATCATCACCGACATCAACTGCTGGACCACCACAGTGCCTGAAATTGTATAGAAAAGAAAGGAGTATGAAGGAGTCAGTTTTGATTACAGTGATGGGTTAGTTCACTTAATTCTTTCCATAGTTCTAGTCTGAAACCAAGTTGGATGAGAACCAAAGCAAATTTAATGGTTCAGTTCAACATTGACCTTATGGAGAAATTTGATTCAGTTCTCATCCAATTCAGTTTAGGAGCAGAATGGTGGAAAGAATTAATTTCATGAATGGAGGTACCATTGTATTTCCTATTTTAAATGTGACTCTTAAAAAAGAAAAAAATGTGACTCTTAAAGAAACACATTTAGTAGGGCCGGGGATTTAGCTCAGTGGTTTTGGCACTTGCTACACAAGTGCGAGGACCTGAGTTCGATCCCCCGTACCAAAAAAAAAAAAAAAAAAGAAACACATTTAGGTAAAATTCAGCATTATTATCAGAAGTACCAGATTATATTTTTGATGACTATAAAAGCAATAGATATTAAAATTTCCTGAGGATTTACCCTGTTCCATGAACTGTACTAAGCATTTTATTTTTGTAGTTTACTTTGATTTTAAAACATATATGTGAATATATATTGTTATTCTCACTGTCTTTGAAAGGTTTAGTAATTTGAATAAAGTCACAAAGCTACTGAGGAACAGACTTTGGGCTTGTACTCAGTTATCCAGTTCAACACCTAGGCTTATAATCATTATACTACATTTATTGCAAGTTTTACAGGTAAATGTGAAAAATCAACTCAGGTTCATCTTTCACTAAACTGGCAATTAAAAAATCCATTGACCACTGCTCCTGGTCAGAGGAAGGGGCTTCCCAGACACCATCCCTACTGCTGCTCCTAGCCTAGAGGAAAGGGCTTTGGGGCCGCCATCCATCCTGCTGCTCCCGGCCCAGAAGTAGGGGCATCAGAGCCACCGTCCCACTGCTCCTGGTCCAGAGGAAGGGGCTTCTGGGCCACCATCCCTATTGCCACTCCTGGCCCCTGTCCCAACTCTCCCAGCTCAGAGGAGGTGATCCACATGGGTGCCAACAGCACCCCCCCCACACTCCCCCCTGGTCAGAATGAGAAAACACAAAAATAAGTCTCAAAATCAGACTTCCAGATCACCTACAGCAACCCCAAAGGGAAATGAGATGGAACACTCTG